CACGACGGTAGTGACGATGGGGGAGGCAACGAGAGGACTGTGACGGGAGGAGCATGCGAACGAAGGAGCATAGGGTGGACACTAGGACGGGGAGAGACAAGACGAGCACCAGAGGGGCGACGAACCCAGTGGGGAAGAACTGGGTACTGGGGACGTGGGGGGACGGAGGGGAGCGCGGGGGAAACGAGCCGGAGAGGATTCTGGAGGAGGAAACAACGGGCCGGAATTAGGGTCATGCACCGGAGGGGGAACGGGCGGGCTGACAGGGGAACCTGGAGCAAGACCAAGGAGACGAAGGGTAGACTGCGGCGGCTCCTGCTGCGGTGGCTGCACCTGCTGCTGTTGCTGCTGCTGCTGCTGCTGCATGTCCGCTCCAGAACCTCCAGTGGCACCCCAGCTGCCACCCGCATGCCGCGAAACAGCACCCCCAAGACTAGCACCCTCGGTCTCACCACCTACAGAACTAGTACCCCTGGAGTCAGCACCCCCGGAACTCGCACCCCCAAAACCAGCACCCCCAGAGCCCACTGCTCTCTGCTACTGCTGCTGCCGCCGTGGAGTTTGCTGCGGCGACGACTGCTGGTGCTGAGGCAAGGGAGCAGTTAGCTGAGGGGCCTGGGGGAGCGAGGCTGGGGGAGGCGCCACAGAGACAGCAGGCGCACCCCCAGCAGCTGGGCCCCCAGAGTCAGCCGACTCCCCCACAGTGGGAACCGAGGGGAACTGAGTGGCGTGGGAGACACCAGACTGGGCCGGGCGGGGCGGGAGGGGTGCAGCAGGGGGGGTAGGGACAAGGAAGAGAAGAGGAGGAGGCACAGTAGCGCTGCGGTACGGGGAGTGCTGCGGTGCGGGAAGCGCCGGTAGTAGGGGGGCATCTCGTCAAAGGTGACGTCACGAGAGTGGTAAAAACGGTGGTGTGCGGGATGGTAGAACAGCCTGTCAGAGGCGTCAAGCAGGAACCCCAAGAAGACACAAGGAAGAGTGCGCGGATGTGAGCAAGGCTGCCCCAGACGTGGAACGCATACGCGTCACCAGGAGACCTGGTCCAGAGGAGGGTCGGCGAAACCTGTGGTCGCTGGGAGCACGGCCACAGGTTAAGCTGGTGAGTAGCGTAGTGCACTGCGAACGGCCACAGAAAATGGGGTGCACCGGCGTGGACCATGGAGGTGCGAGCCACCTCCATGATCAGGCCGATGCGTTGCTCAGCGACCCCATTCTGCTGTGGGGAGTCCGGCAGTGTGTACGTCTGGCAGATGCCCTCCGCATGACAGAACCGTCCTAAAGAGCCAGAGGCGAACTCGCCACCGTGGTCAGAGTGTAAGCGACCTACAGACAGGCGGTGGGCGGTGCGAACAGTGAGAAGCCACGGGAGGAGAACGGTCGGCACGTCGGCCTTCCGCTCCAACGGGAAAATTGTGGTGAACCGCTAGAAGTCGTCAACGAAGACTAGGAAGTAGCGCTCTCGATTGAGACCATGGACCGGGGCAGGGCCCCAGACGTCCATGTGCAGTGTCTGTAGTGGTGCTATGGTATGAGGAAACGAGGAGGAGTAAGGGGTGGCGTGCTTCCGGCCCTCGACGCAGGAGGTGCACAGTGGCGCTACCGACGGAGGCAAGGCTAGGAGCGATGCAGGGAGACCAGTGACTAGACTGTACTGGGACATGTGCCTAAGACGCGGGAGTGCAGGGTGACCTAAGCGGTGGTGCCACATAAGGGTCGGGTGGGCTAGTGAGTGACAGGAGCAGGACGTGGCGACCTCGGCAGACGCAGCAGTGAGCGGGGACTCAGTGTGCAAGGTTAAGAGACCTGATCCAGGGTCACGCTCAAAGGTAGATAAGTGTCGACCGGTGATTGTGTCTTTGCAAGCAGCGTGTCTCTCGCAGCCAGGGAACGTAGTGGTGACGCCTCGGTCCTGGAGGTGACCGACACTCACTAAGTTCCTAGCAAACGAGGGGATGTGCAGACATGTGAGGAAGCCGGAAGGGACAGCCGAACAGGGGAGAGTGGTGGTGCTACGTGCGACAGCTGTGGTGGAGGAGTCTGCTAGTGCGACGCGGACAGGCCTAGGAAGCGGGGTGAGAGCAGTACTGTCTCGAAAGAAGCACCGAGACGCTCCAGAGTCTAAGACAAAGGAGAGGGCCGACGAGGCGAGGCCCGGTGAAGAGTCTCTAATAGGTCCTACGCCTGACGCAGCAGGGAATCCTAGACTACACACAGGAGTAGCTCCAAGGCTACAAACAGCAGGATAACAAAAACTAGCAACACTAGAAGCATCAGAATACAGAGAATATTAGGCATGGTCAATCTGAATCATATCCATATCAAATATAGGAACTCCACGATGAAGCAAGACCGGCCATGGGGGAATCTGCACCTGCAGGCTGAAGTGACGACGGTAGAGGTCGTCCAGGCAGTGGAAGCAGCGAGCGGCGGTGTGCCCCACGCGCTCGCACACCTGGCCCGCCTGTGGGCCAGTCAGCAGCTGGTACGTGTAGGTTACCGCGCTACCAGAACCACCAGCACCCTAACCCACAGAAGAGCCACGCAACCCCTAGGGCACCGACAGCCCTGGGCCCCAACACCCATGGCCTCCACCACGACTACCACCCCCAGGGCACGCCGGCCCCTAAGACTGCTACTGCTGCTGCTGTGGCTGCTGCTGCTGTGCAGTCCCCGACTCCGACTGACCACCCTCTCCGTCCGCACCCTCACCCCCTCCACCTGTTGCTGCCGACCCCCCACGACCCTTGCCCCCTTTGCCCTTGCCCTTGCCGCCAGATGAGTGGCCGAGGGCAAAGGTAGCCGCTGCTGTCTCAACTACAGAGGCAGAGGCAGGGACTATCACTGGGGAGGGAGCGCTGCCCTGAAATATAGGGACCGCCAGCGCACCATCGGAACCGGCGATAGCTCGGAGGTGGTCCTCTATCTCAGTCAGGGAGGTGGAGAAGAGGTCAATGGTGAGCTCAGAGGGGTGACGAGCAAGGAGCGCGTCATGGGCAGGGGCTAGGCGGTTAGGGAGGCGGGTGACAAGGAAGTAGATAGTGGCGAAGAGGGGGGGCGGGGCGAGTGCTAGCTGGGCCTCAGTACAGGCCGCACGCCAGCGAGCCTCGAGAGAACGTAGGTGCTCGACTAAGTCTGCTAAAGTGGTGAACGATGTCAGGTCAGGGTAGAAGAAATGGAGGAGGAGGCGACCAAGAGTGGCAGACGACGGGGTGGAGTACCTAGCTAGGATAGCCAGCCAGAGGGCGCGGGCTGACGCAGCACCCACAAAGTGGGAATGCTCGGCAACGGCCATGCACCTGAGGATGGCGACTCGAGCAGTGGCGTCGCGAGACGCCCAGATAAAGTAGGCATTACGAGCAGCAGCGTGCACAGATTGCTGCTCAGACACCGCGCCATGAGCAGGAGCGCCCGGGCGAGGGATAGTGGGGAGCTCACCAGAGACGTGGGCGTCCAAAGTCTCGTCGTCGACGCGCTGACTCGTGAGCTGAAGGAGAACTGCCTCCTGCCAGGCGGCGAAACCGACTGCCTGCCCCTCCCCATCCAGGCGCAGAAAGAAGACGCCGGGCGACGCTATGCTGGCAGCTGCGGCCGGAAAGGCAGTGGCGGCAGAAGCAGGAACAGCTGGGGCAGTAGGCCAGTAGGGAGCTGGCTAGCGGAGGCGGCTACGTGGGTACGGGCGAGCCGCGGCAGTGGTGGCAGCAGCGGCTGCAGTGGCATTGTGGGCTGCAGCGGCAGGGGCAGCCGCAGGGGGCAGCGTGGTAGCTGCAAGGGCAGCAGCGGCAGTAGCAGCCGCAAGGGCAGCGGCTGCAGCGGCGGCTGCAAGGGAAGTGGCGGCAGCGGCAGTGGCGGCTGTGGCAGTGGTAGCAGCGGCAGCTAAAGCGACTGCAGCGGCTGCAGCGGCAGTGGCAACAGCAGCTGCAACAGTGGTCGCGGCGGCGGTGCAAGTGGCTGCAGCGGCAGAGCAAGCAGCAGAGCAAGCTGCAGCAGTGGCAGAGGCAGTGGCTGCAGCGGAGAGGAGCCGCTGGCAGTGGCAGCTGGCGGGCAGTGGAGTCAGTTGGCGCTGCTGACTAGTGCGGGTAAGCGGCGGGCGGGCGCTGGCGAGCTGGCGCTGGCGGCTAACAGCTGGCGAGCTGTCGCTGGCGGCTAGCAGCTGGCGAGCTGGTGTGCTGGCGCTGACTAGCTGGCTGGTGCTTGTGAATGCTTGCTGGCGCTGGCAAGCTGGCGCTGGCGTGCTGGCGCTGACGGCTAGCAGCTAGCTGGCACGAGCTGGGGGCTAGCTAGCTGGTGCTGGCGGCAAACTGCTGGCAGGGGCTAGCGAGCTAATGCTGGCTAGCTGGCGCTGGCGAGCTGGTGCTGGCGGGCTGGCTGGCGCTGGCTGGCTGGCTGGCTGGCTGGCGCTGGCGTCAGGGACGAGCTACGATCGAGCGGGAGGGGGGGGAGATCGGCGACTAACGAAGGCGCCAATGTGGTGCGGGCTAGCTGCGGCTGGCGCTGGTCGGCACTAGCTGGTGGCGGCTGGCGCTAGCCGACGCGAGCTACGCGACGAGCAGAGGAGGGCGGGGAGGGGACGATCTATACAAGGCGCGCAACTAGGGGCGAGGCACGCTAGGCTAGGGTGTGCTAGGGCGGAAGCGTGAGTAGAGGGCGAGACCTAGCTCTAGATGCCATGTTAGAATGTCGAGAGAAAGTTGACGTAAGGGAGGAAGGCTGAGGGTTACAGAGGTGGGAATGTACCCTCTAAGAACTGACCTAACTAAGGCTATAACAAATATACTGTACCTAGCATAGACAATTATATTTGTTGACAAAGATGCGTATCAGAAACGCATTTCCAGTTTTCCAGAAATAGAGCAGTTCCAGTTTTGTTGTAGGTAATTAGACTGTTCGATCAGTGAGTACTGTGGTGGCAGATCAGGTTGGCAGGTTGATGTCATCATTCCCCCCCAGCAACACACAAGCCAAGCTTCTCACAAGCTCGAGCTGCAATGCAATTACATTCTTGCTGGTGAAACTTAAATTGAAATGTGCAACATTATTCACATTGCTGGTCTTAGCATAGCAATACTTCCTTATCTAGAACTACATCATGTTGTCTGGAATTGACAACTCAGCTGCAGATTGACAATCAGTAGGAAGCATGGCACCACTAGTAAGAACGCGGAGCGCTTCTTACTGAACTTCCACTGTTGACATGGCTGCTGTAACGTCACTCGACCCATTCATAAAAACCTCCTCATCCTGGGCCGCTTCTTCAGCCTCTTCAAAATCATCAGCCGGCTCCTTCTCCTCGCTCACGTCCGCTTCAGCCTCACCATTTCCATCCAAAAGGGCCCGCGCCTGATCCAAGATATCCTCTGTGTCTTCTGTTGCGTAGAGAATCTTCAACACAGCAGCATTCTGTCACAATGGAGATAGTTGAATTAATCAGATTGACGTGACGAGTGTGTCGGAGGCCCAAGCCCTGTGAAACCTTATCGTGTCAGAAACTTACCGGTAAGGTCGCATAGCCGGGCGTTTGGCAGAGAAGTTCAATATCCCTAAGCTTGGCAAAATAGAAGTCTCGCTCCTTCTCCAGGCTGTCAATTGTCAACTTGTGGTCAGAAATCTGCACACAGTGATACTGGTCAGATACACTGAAAATCCAGGAAAAAGAGCACGGACTTCCTGGAGTTTTTGCTCACCTGTTCTCGGAGCTCCTGGACTTGCTTGTCAAACAGCTGGTAGTCAGACGTGTTCGGCGCCGTAGGGGCCCGGATAGCAGTTGTCCTTGCGCTTCCTGCACAACAGCAGCAACGGTTACTAATGGATTCTCTGGGTTGCAAGGATGCGAAGTTCAGTTGCTTCATGCGTACCAGCTGTTGGCTTGCTAATGACTGGCTGCGCACGGGGTTGCACACGAGGCCGAGAGGCAGCAGGTTGAGGGCACTTCTTCAGCATCTCTTTCCCCCCCTTCGACGAGTTACGGCGTTCCACAGGGTTGTAGCTGCAGAGCCACCAAAATGGTTAGCGATAAATAAATAATGGGCTCTCGCGTGCAAATCAAGCTTCTGTGTTGCTCACCTAGGATCAATGACTCCCTTGCTAATGGTATCGCAATAGCGTTTCATCCACTGCATGAACTCAAGATTGTCCAGTGGGCGACCTTTCACAAGCTTGTTCACCTCAATGTGCTGCAGAAATTGAACGAAGAGAAGCATCTCTGCGTCAGGATTGAAGATAAAGTAAAACCACAAGCGTGCTGGTATGCAGGATGCAGCGGAAACACAGTACCTTGGCTATCTTCAGCTTGTCGAAGACATCCTGAAGGACCTTGTAGTTCTGAATCATCTCATACTCGTTTTTTGCATCGTAGTTGACCTGCAGGACAAGCAGACACAGAAGTTAGCCATACGCGACCATCGAACAGTGGATCTTGTCACTGATGACAAAAGTCATACTTTATGCATGGGAACGACGTTCGGATAGATAGCGTCCATAAGCTGGCAGTGAATAGCCCCTGACGCTGCCTGCACAAGATGAGACAGAGCGTCAGTATATGTTTCGAATACCCACTTCACTAAAGGTCACCACATAGCCGAACGATTTACTACCTCTTCGACTTTAGTGACGTTCAGCTGAAGGGTAGTATTGATCCATGCTAAGATGTCAGACCTAGACACGAAGTACGCGCCGTCCATAATACCAATGTTAGCCATGGCTTCAGCAGGAAGGAAGCCGTAAGCGAAGTTGGCAACTCCGTCCGTGAAGGGTCTTGGACAAGGGAAACGTGAATGAAGAGGTTGACGAGATTGCTCAAAATGTTACAAATGTCATGCTGGGAGGGCAGAGCTATGTGGTGGTTTGCTGAAGGCAGGCTCAACGGAGAACCAGCATGAGACACGACGCGGGCCTGCCTGACACACAGGAGTTGCCGAACCTGACTCCTCGGTTCGCGCGGGAAGACCGACTTTTCCAAGGGCAACGGCGGGGCATGGAGTCGCGTTGCAACTTCCCTCCCTGCCATGTCGCACCCTTGCTTGCTGTTTACGAAAACGTCGCGACGCTTGAACGGAATTCGCAAACCCAAATGTTCATGACAGTGCTCTAAGCAGATCGTCGTTTCGCGACGGCGCTAGCTCGACGCAACCAAACCTGTCCGTTTCCCGCTTTCGCTGAAGCAAACGGCTTGCTTCGGCAACCAAAATGTACACGTCTACAATGTAACACAGCATTCTTTCCAACACTACATTTCACCATGAGTAATCCATTTCAAACCTAGTTTCACTTCACATGCCCTACCATCTACAAGCGGGAACAGATCCGCTAATCCATCAGGTGTGAAGTACGACGCAACCAGAATCGAACCCCAGTACCGTATCATTCATCGTCACTTTCATCCTCGCGAAGTAAAAAAAGTCTGCCCCCAAAAGCTTCACAGAGAGCGATCGCAGCAGCTTCCGCAGCATCCACACCATCAAACCTTCCACCACTTTTCGCAAGATTGACCCCCTGCGACTCGGCTCCAGCATCACTCCCACTAAACATTTCATGGTCACTTGGCATTGCCTTAGGTTGGATTAACCGATTCCGTCCAGTTCCCGCAAAGGAGGGGATGCGCCCAACCCCTCCAGTGCTGCCCCCAACGCCAGTGCCACTAGTGCCACGGGCAGAGGAAGCAGTGGCGACTGCGGGACGGGCAGCACGGCTAGGGGAGACACGGCCAGCAGCAAGAGCAGAATCACCATAGCCTCTGAATCCCACAGCCGCATCCAAGGGAGAAGATGCAGGGACACTTGCAGTGAAATTAGCTTCAGCCGCAGCAGTTCCGGAATCGACTTGGCCAGAAATAAAGGAGTCTACGATAGCCAAGTCATCAACATCCGCATCAACAGCCGCTTCCATACCAGCTCCTGCTGCAGCACCAGCAAGTGCATCAGCAGGTGCATCAGCAGACACAGCAGCAGCACCAGGGGCATCAGCAGCCTCCATATCAGCTCCTGCTGCAGCACCACCAGGCGCAGCCGCAAGAACACCAGCAGTCACATCAGCAGCAGCACGGACAGTGCTAGGTGCGCGTTCCCCATCTCGAGTTGAAACCTCCCCTTGTGCGCCATCACCTAGCGCCTCCACATCCATGATGCCATCAGCCGCAATGGCCTCGACCAAATTGCCTTCCAGAATGCCACCATAAGCAGTGGCATCATCCACAACATGCCCATTCACAGTCCCATTCACACCAGCATCCTCTGCAGAGCTCTCAGTGCTCTCCACACAAAAGCCCTCTGCCCCCTCGTCAACTGCTGAAACAGCGCTGGGCCCCTCGTGAGCATCGAGGATCAATGGTTCAGACCCATGGCTCGGACTCCCATCCATCAAGCCCCAGTCAGTTTCACTGGCATCCACAGCAATCCCTACTTCTTCACTGGCTCCAAATGCTCCTGGCTGGTCTGTTTCTGCATCCCCAGAATACACGAACTCTGGCGAATGCAACTCACTGCCATGTCCCAATGCTTCGGTGGTCATGCTGCTGTTGCTCTCGCTGCTGTTGCTGATACTGTCACTGCTGCTGTTGCTGCTGCTGCTGCTGCCACGAGAAATTGCGCTGGTGCGGGCATTCACAGGCAGAGTTGACGGCACAGCATTCACCTGCGGAGGATCCCAAAGTTCACCGTCATTCGATACCCCATCACCAGCAACATCAAAGCCTCGCTCTATCTCCGCTGCACCTGATTCTACATATCCGGAACCTACTTCCACCGTCGCACACCCACTCAGGTTGAGCGAGCCATCAGCACCTGCTGCCCCCTGAGCTGCCACAGCTGCCAGTCGTGGTGGTGGTGGTGGTGGTGCGCTCACAGCCTGCTGCCCTCCTCGTCTCTGGCTCCGTTGCATGTCCGCTGCACGTGGCGCCACTGCTCTTCTCGCAGCCGCTGCTGCTGCTGCTGCTGCAGCGGCAGCGGCCTTAGCAGGTGCTGCCTGCATGTGGGCAGGTTGAGGAGGAGGAACCCCGGAATACTTCTGCTGAGGAGGAGGCGGCGGCGGCGGAGGCGGCGGCGGCTGAAACGATTGCTCTGGCACAGGCTTCGGCGCACGTGCTTGAGGCCTTTTCCAGACCTCCTTCCCTTGGGGCTGTCTCGCTAGCATCAACCCCTCCTCTCTCTCTCGCACAGACTGTCGACCACCCTGCCTCTGCCTGCTTGTCCTCTCAGGCCCTCCGCTTCCAACCCCCTTAGGAGCCGCACTCCTCGCAGCAACAGCAGCAGCAGCAGCAGCAGCAGGCACAACTGGCACACCCTCAGCAGTGGCTGCTCCCCCCTCAGCAGTCACGGGCTCTCTGGGTACGAGCTCTATTCTGACCGGCCTGCCTAGGACCCTTGTGAAGGCCTCGGCAAAGCCTGGTACAATCGTCCTGCGCCGCCCGTCGTTGGTAAGCATGTGGATCCATGTGGGCAGGAAGCTCAGAGTGACTGGCAGGTGCAGGGAGACCAAGCCCGAGAGAAGGGGGGGGTGGGGGGGGGAGCATACAGCGTGAGATAGAGCGAATGCGTCACGGTATGGCATGCAGAATGCACCAGTGGCTACAACTGTATAGCTATAAAGGTGGTGCCGCCTTGTCAAGCGCACGTGAGAGACGGCGGGGCGGAGAGGGGAACGGAAGGGAAGAGGGAGCACTGGAGGGCTAAAAAGGGGAGCATAGAGCCAAAGCAGTGGCAGGCGGAACGTACCAGTGGTGTGCGTGACGGCGACCATGCAGCCCTGCTGGGTGAACATGGCGCGCTGCTGCGCAGTCATCTCCGCCATGGCTCTCCTTGCCAGCTCGCCCCACTCCCCCTCCGCACTTGCTGCCCCATTCGGAGCCTTGGCGGAGCGGGAGCGGGAGGGGGAGGGGGAGGGGGCGGAGGCGGAAGGGGAGGAGAAGGGGGCAGGGGACGAGAGGGAGGAGGAGGACGGGCTGAGAGGGGTGGAGGCTGAGAGAGAGGAGGAGGGAGAGGAGGGGAGGTGCGAGTTGGGAGAAGCAGGCCCGCGGAGGGACCGTGGAGGATGGGTGCGAGGTAATGGGGAGTACACGGGGTTGAAGGACTGCTGTGAGGCGGAGGAAGGGCGGGACGACTTGTAGGGAGCGGGAGCAGGGAGACGGTGCTGTGAGGAAGACGAGGAGGGGAAGGATTGTGTTGCTGTGAAGGAGGGGGAGAAGGGGGAGGAGGAGGAGGACGTTGAGGAGGGATTGGAGGAGGACGTGAGGTGGGAAGCGCTGAAGAGGTCGAATGAGTAGGGGTACTTCTTTAGGAGGAGGGGCAGCTGCACCATGGCTGCTTTGAACTTGGTTAGATCAGATGGATTCTCCTGCTGCTGCTTCTCCGCTTCAGACAGAGCACTCACCGTTGCTTGCAGCAGCGACCGGCCCTCTTCAGAAGCTGCCAAGAAAGGTGAAGGAGAGGGAGGCGACCGGATTAGGGAGCAATGCAAACCTCGAATGCAAGCACGTCAGCCGGAAGTATAGGAGGACGTACACCTAAAAGACCAGCAGAACAACCGATATCTAGGCTGAGCAGTCCAGAAAGAAAAGCATAGCAGCCTCGAACTCAGGAACCACCCCCTCTCACCTCCCCCCTCCCCCATTCCCCCTTCCCCCTTCCCCCTCCCCTCCCCAATCTCCGCTCTCTTTCGCCCTCCAATTCCCTTTCCATCCTCCCCAATCCGCCGTCCGTGCGCATCCCGTGTAATCGCCTTGAGGCAGGCAGGTACCAATCTCCCCACTCTTACTCCACCGCGTGCCAGTCCCACCCACCGGCCATGTGTGCGAGCACCGGGCCCTCGGGCTTCGCGCTGAGCGCGTCGGTGGCGGCGACCTTGAACTGCTTCAGCACGCGCGTCAGCTCCCAACCGCCGACCGCCAGCGCCTCCGCCTGCGCCGCCACCTCCGCCTGCCGCGCGTCGCTCAGCGCGCCCACCAGCAGCTCCGCCGCCTCAGACTGCGGCATGCGTTGAAACTGGTGGACGGACGGGAGGACAAGCAAAGAAAACCGGAATAAGAAAGCGCTTCCACTATGATGGACTGCTTCCTAGTCCCTTGCCTCTTTTCCCCTCCTCCTCCATTCCCTTCCCTTCCCTCTACCCTTCCCTTCCCTCCATCCTTCCCGCCCCCTTTCCCGTCTCCTTCCCCCCCTCCCCCCCCTCCCCCCCCACGCCCCCCTCCCCGGCCGCGCACCGTAGTTTGCACGAGCTCCGCCGTGATAATGTCGCCCGGCCCGCTCAGCTGCTGCAGCATACCCTTCGCGTCGCGCACCGACCCCTCCGCCTCCTCCGCAATCGCCTGCAGCCCATCCTCGCTCGCCGCCCACCCCTTCCACCGCGCGATCCTGCGCAAGTCCGCCACAATCACATCCTTGGCTACGCGCGAGAACTGGAGCCTATCGCAGCGCGACCTCACGGTGGGAGGCAGCAGCTGCGGGTCCGTAGTGACGAGGATGAACACGGCGCCTCCCAGGGGCTCCTCCAGCGTTTTCAGCAGCGCGCCCCACGCGTTCTTCGTCAGAAAGTGGCACTCGTCGATTATGTGCACCTTCCGCGCGTGGCTCCCCCCACCCGCCGCCTCCGCCGCCTCCGCCGCCTTGTGCACCTCGTCCTTTATCCACCGCGCGACATCCACCCCGTTGTCGCTCGCCGCGTCGATCTCCACAGCGTCCGCGCTCGCCCCGTCCGCCACCGCGCGGCAGTGCGCGCACTTTCCGCCGCACGGGTTGCCGTCGCTAGGCTCCCGCGCGGAGCAGTTGAGCGCGGAGGCGAGGATGCGCGCAGCGGAGGTCTTCCCCGTGCCGTGCGGGCCGGAGAAGAGGTACGCATTGGCGACCTGATTCCCGGCGACGGCGGCTTTAAGGAGCTTCACGGTCATGGGCTGCCCGAGAATGTCGTCGAATCGCTGGGGCCGCGTCTCCCAGTTAATGCCCCAAAACCCCGCGCGAGTAGCGTTGGAAGAATCAGCGGCTCCGTAAATGGTGCCGCGAGCGGCTCCGTTGATGGTGCCGTTAGGGGTTCCGTTGATAGAGCCGTTAGCGGCTCCGTTGACGGTTTCTTGGCTAACGCCGTTAACGATTCCATTGACGGCGGCCGGCCCGCCAAGGCCTATGTCTTGAGGGAAGCCGGCACGAGACGGATCGATGGCTCCGACGGGGAACACAGAGCCTCCATCCTCCCATCTTCCCGTCTTACCATAATCGTCTCTAGCACCTGCGCCACCGTCGCTGATGCCTCCTCTGCCGTACTCCGCAGAAACAGGCAGGAGCGGCGCTAAAGCCGCCTGTCCTGCAGCACCTAACGCGAAGCCTGCGCGGCGCCCTTCCGCGGAGCGAAATGCGGGAGCGGCGGTCGATATGGGGGAGACGGGCTGGCGGGAGGTTAAGGCGACGAGCGCGCGGGGGAGCTGCCACGCGCGGAAGGAAAGGAGCGCGTTGAGGGAGGAAAGAGCGAGGGATCTTGACGGGTAGAGCAGCATGAGCGTAGGCACGCGCTCACATGCCAACGACTGGGCGGCGTGACGCTGGGACGCGTGGAAGCAGCAGCGGAGAATACCGGACGAAGAGGGGATGGAGAGAGTCACGATGCTGCTACTCAGCAGGCCGTCAGGTGTGAGGGAGTATCTCGAAGCACGCGGAGAGAACGGAATGGTAGAGGAAGGTGAGGAGGATTTAGGTGGGGTTCTGACTGCCAGGGCCGTAGGAGAGGATGTCGCCATGAGAGCAGGAACTGAGAGCTCGACTGCGGGTGCTGGGCCGTTGTTGCACCATCAAGACAAGCTCTTAAAGTCAGACGCGACTATACGACCCTAGCGCTCTGTCAGCAGAGAAACGAACGCAAGAAACGCGCGTCCTGTTCTGCATAACTGAGAGCGAAGAGGTGACGTGAGGAGGGAGTGAGTCTGACATGGAGGTGATGCATGGCAGTCTAGGCTGCATAACTGCTAGCCAGACCTTTCCCCATAGGATGTGAGCATTGGGATTCATGTAGCCATCAGCACAAAAGATATCATGCAAACCCTAGACGTTGAAGGGTTCCGGCTATTCCGGAGATGCATTCTCTCTGCAACAGGTCCCGATAATGTTTCAAACATTTGGCAGAACCAATGTTGTTGCAAGAAAAGGCAATCTCCGACGAGAAGTTAAAGGTATTGATTTCTAGGCACATTCATTTCATTGTAGTCGTTCATAATACAGTTTCTCCAAAAAGGCCATATGATCCTATGCAGTATAAGATCACCCATCCACTAAATCACCCGAGTTTCCCGCCTGGATTGCATCTTCCCTCCAACCAGCGAGGAATCTTTCCTGCATGGGCTCAGCTTGACGTACCCATGCCATCTTCCCATCCCAGCCTCTGTGAACCGAATCCCACCCCCTCGAAGCGCTCCAGTTCCCAGCATTTGAGGCAGTCAAGTATTTGTGCCTGTTTGGGCTGGATGGATTCCATGGTCGCCACGGGCGGCAAGCGACCAAGGAGCGATGGAGGGGAATGTACTGGGCATGAAATTCGGGAATGCGCGCGCTCTCATTGATGTTCGACCAAGATGCGTTCCTCGAGGCCAGTTTCTGTCCAGGAAAGCTGGCCACAGCGAGATCACCTCATCAACCCCACGCATTTCCTGCTTTTCCCGAGTTCAACGCAGTGTTTGCTTTTAGTACCCTTCATCTGAGCTCGAGAAGCGAAAGCTTGCTGTCTAGTTTCAGTAATTGCGTCTGCCAAATCAGTCATTTGCTCTCGACTGCAACGCGCTTAGCAGGAAGGAAGCTGGTCGTGTCTCCAACAACCGATCATGGCGACGACGACGACGCTCCTCGCCGGTCGTGCCGCAATGCCCGCCGTCCACCTCCACGCCTCCTGCGCCTCGCCTCCTCCTCACGCCAGATTCGCGCATTCCGCGCGATCGCCAATGTCGGAAGGTCGCCTCCGCCTCGGCAAGCTGCCACCATGTGAGGGTCGCCCTCAAGCCCGCAGTTTGCAGCATCAGCAGCAAGCGCACTCGGAAGTGACGCCGCTCCTGTCGCTGATCCGTCCCCGCTCGGCGCGCTCCCTGCAGCAGCTCGGAGCCTTCAGATGCAGCAGCGGATCTCGCGGTTTGAACAGCCATCGGAACAATGCGCGCCGCTGCGTGCAAGCGAGCAGCGCGGGCGACGGATCGACGCCTGAGGCACCAACCGCCTCGAACTCGTCAGACTCGTCAGGCTCGCAAGCGACTGTAGCGAATACCACTGGCGATGAAGCCAGGAGCCATTCGAGAATTCCGGAGAGCAACGCAACGATTCCCAGCAGAGCAGGCGGCAACAAAGCGCCGCTCTCCGCTGTCGCCGCGTCCGCTGTAGCCTGCCTCGCGTCGCTCCTCGTCGCCACCGCCGCTACCACCGCCGCTTCTCCCTTCGCCGGCGTTGCGCCCGCTCTGGCTGAGCCGCGCGCCGTCACCGCGTCCGGATTCGGCGGCGCCTTCAACGCTGGACTAGACACCCTCTTGCCGTTCCTCACCAGCGCCGGATCCAACGCCGCGATCAACGGCAACGACGCCGGCAATGGTGCGGACGCGCAGCAGCTGGGCGCGCTGGCGGGCGTGGGGGAGCTTGCGCTCCTGGGGGAGGGGCAGTTTGCGCCACTGGGCGGAGCGGCGGCAGTGGCGGAGGAGTACATTCGGCCGGGGCACCGACCCGACCTGCCGATGACGAGCCCGCTCTTCGGACCCGCGAGACAGGCGGACGAGCCGCAGCAGGTGAGTGGGGTCACTTGCTGAATCACCGCTGCTGGTGGCTGGTTGGTTGGTTGAAGGCAAGGCAGCATGGAGGCACGTCGCAACCGCCAATGCAGCTTCCTAAGGCCCTCAAATGCATGGCTGGCTTCCTCCCTGCACCTCCCTGCGCCCCCCTGCGCCTCCCTGCGCCTCCCTGCGCCTCCCTGCGCCTCCCTGCGCCTCCCTGCGCCCCCCTGCGCCTCCCTGCGCCTCCCTGCGCCTCCCTGCGCCTCCCTGCGCTCCCCTGCGCCCCCCTGCACCCCCCCTGCGTGAACCGGTACTGTGCCAGGTGCACATCAGTCTGGCTGGGCCTGGCGCCATGCGCGTGACGTGGCTGACGGCCGACGGGGAAGCGCCCGCAGTGGTGCAGTACGGTGACGCGCCCGGACGCTACACGCACACAGTCACGGGCACCACCACCTCGTACAGCTTCCTCTTCTACCGGTGAGATGCGGAAGCTCCATTCGGCGGTGTCAAGTCAAGTGCACGCACACACCGTTGGGATGAAAGGCCTGCCTGTCCCACCACTGCCTCTCTCACTCCCACTCTCCCGCCCTTCTCCCACCCCCCCTAAACCTCTCACCCTCTATTCCCCACTCTCCAACACCCCCCTCTTTCCCCCCTCCCTGCGCTCACCCTTTCCTGACTGAACCGTAAGCCTCGCCCCATATCTGGATTTCTCAATGCCATTGCTCCCATGCTGCGGCTGGCCCCCCGCCAGGTCAGGGTTCATCCACAGTGCGGTCATAGGCGGCCCAGAGCAGCCCCTGGCCCCCAACACCGTCTACTACTACCGCGTCGGCACAACTGCTGATGCCACCGCTGACGCCACCCTGCCCGCAGCGGCTGCGGAAGTAGCAGCAGTGGGAGCGAGTGCAACTGGTGCTACGATCACCGCCAGCAGCAGCGACAGTGTAGAGCAACTGAGTTTGATTAGCAGCGGGCGGGGCATTGTGGGGAGGGGGTTCACGGAGAGGTCGTTCAAGACCCTCCCTGCCGACCCCTCTGACTCAATCAACATCGCCATCGTTGGTCAGTCCCTCCCTCCCAACACCACCCCAACACCACCCTCTCTCCCTCAAGAGCCCTTTCAGAGTCTGCTGATGCCTGCCACGGCTCCCCCCGCACCACTGCCCGCTACACAGGGAGCTCATGGAAAAATGGGAAATGGAAGCAGCATCCTTGAGTAGCCAGCCATGGGCTAGTACTGTTTGCACACACACTGGTATTGATGCCGTATGGCGTTCACACCGCCCCCCCCCATGACCAAGCTCCTATACCTTATCCCTCTCCATGTGTTCCCTCCCCTCCTGTCCCATCCTATCCCTCCTTCACTTCCTCTCTTCCCCAACCCCCCACCCTCCCGCCCTCCCGCGCAGGCGACATGGGGCAGACAGGGTGGACGGTGTCCACCCTCGACCACATCGCGCAGCAGCCGCACGACCTGCTCGTGCTCCCAGGGGACCTCTCCTACGCCGATGCGTACCAGCCGCGCTGGGACACGTGGCACAACCTCATAGAGCCGCTGGCGAGCTCGCGCCCGTGGATGGTGGTGCCGGGGAACCACGAGATCGAGAGCCTGCCGGGGCTGGTGCGCCCGTTCACGGCGTACAACGCGCGCTGGCCCATGCCGGCTGCGCAGAGCGCGTCGCCATCGAACCTGTTCTACTCGTTTGAGAGCGCGGGCGTGCACTGGGTGATGCTCAACTCCTACTCCGACTTTGAACCAGACTCTGTGCAGGGCCAGTGGCTCAAGGTGATGCATTGCAGGTCAGGGGTGTGGTGGGGTCAGGGGTGCGGTGGGGTCAGGGGTGCGGTGGGGTCAGGGGTGCGGTGTCAGTGGTGCGGGATCATCAGGGGTGAGGGGCGAGGGGTTAAGGTTGAGGGGTGCGGGATCAGGGGTGCGGGGTCAGGGGTGCAGGTTAGGGGTGCTGCGCCCACTAGCAGCGTATCCAGGGCTCTCTGGTAGGGTTCTTTTCCTTTGTGGAGGGCCTTCTCGCCCATCCGCACTCCTCCTGCTGCCCATTCTTGTGCAGCAAATACAACCCCTCCTTTTCCCCCCTTCCCCTCTCAGAGGGACCTGGCGGGAGTGGATCGGTCGCGCACGCCGTGGCTGGTGGCGGTGGTGCACGCACCATGGTACAACAGCAACAGCGCGCACCAGCGGGAGGCGGAGCCCATGCGCCGCGCGCTGGAGCGCGTGCTGTACGACGCACGCACCGACATGGTCTTCGCCGGCCACGTGCATGCCTACGAGCGCTCCGTGAGTTTCGTACGAGCGAGATTCGTAGCAGGAGATTGTTTCGGGGGGCAGTGGTTTCGTGGCTTGCAGCAAGCGTCGTTAAAGCTGCTTCGACCAGACTCAGCTTCGTCCGGTCTTCCAGTTGATGCTTGATGATGCTCAATGCGTGCACTGTCCCCCCCTACCCCTGTTCTTTCCCACCCTCCCATGGCTGGACGTGTTAGCAGGCGCGGGTGTTTGATGGGCAAGTGGACCCCTGTGGCCCCATCTACATCACCATTGGGGATGGCGGCAACAAGGAGGGCCTCGCCACAGAGTATGCCATGCCATGCCAGGAGTATTCTCACTGCACATAGGAAAATCACTGTTTTCGTCCTCACTGCAATTAACTCCTTTTTTGTGTGGAATGCAATGCATTGATTACCAAACTTCCATCTTCCCCACCTTGTGGTACCTCCCATCCAAACCAGGTACCTGTCCCCCTCGCCCGACTGGTCGATCTTCCGCGAAGCGTCCTTTGGCCACGGGGAGCTAAAGATATTTGGAAAACAACTTATCTCTGTGCTCTCACAAGCCCAGGCTCCAGTAGGAGGAGAGGAGGCAGGAGGCGCATATGGGGAGGCGGAGTGGGTGTGGCACCGCAATGATGATGACGAGGCAATGGTGCGGGACAGTGCGAGGGTTGTCAGCCTCGCCAGTGACAAGGCCCCGGCTCAGTGCAGACCACCCACTGCTGCTGCTGCTGGTGCTGCTGCTGCTGGCGCTGGTGCTGCCTCCAGCTAACAGCATTGCACCATGCACAAGCCTGATGCACACGGCTGGTGCAGACGCCAAGAGCACAAGCCTTGAGAATTCCAGGCAGTTAGGGTAGCCGGTCAAGGTGGGAAGAGACAAGGGTATTGCTGACTGTTCCTTACCTGCTTGCAAGGTAGGGTGCTTGCTAAGGAAACAAACACAGGGCAACCATGCACTGGCATATAAGAACATGCTCAAGTACTCGAAAAGGAAACACATACGATCAGGGCTCTGGCTAAGGTTTTGGGAGGTCTTTCTAGTCAGGGCAGTCTCCCCCACCCTTACCCTTCGGCATAAGGGTACTGCCATGGGCACCCTAGTTTTGACAGGGTGTTTTAAATCGCGACCCTTTCTTGACAAGGTTAAAAATTCTGTTACTCGGACTTCACAAAACTCCTTCACGAAATTTTGTTACTCTGGATTCATGGAAACACCACACGTCAGAGCAGCGGGCACGTGTAAGCACTCGCCCAAGAGAATTCGAGATGTGGACGAAATCCATAGGCCAGCGATTTTCACATAGGTTCGCGTCGGATAACCCTGGCGCAACCCCTGCAACGACAATTGTGCGTAAAAACCATCCGTTGCGCAGTGCGGCAAGCTCTGTGACTGGTGGTGATGACAGGGCACCGATAATTGGACATGTGGCGTGCTCAGTTCATTGGCTGCAATAGATCTCGTGTTAGGTGGTACAGTTGTCAACTTATACATATTAGCTATATAGAAGTTATAGGCTAGACTGAGGTATGCTTCTAGTGAGTACAACCAACTAGTATTTGTTCTAGGTTTCAACTTCTAGTCAACTATTCAGTTCTTACTTCAATATGGTATCCCGCGTAGGTTAGCATCCCCCACCTACCGCTTCCGCCCGTACCCTAGCTAGGCCCCGCCGCGCCCCCCCCCCCCTGGGGCCTCCTAGCCACGCCGCGCCCCTCCTGGGACCCGTCGCGCCTCCTGGCCCCGTCGCGCCCCTCCTGGGCCCCGTCGCGCCTCCTAGCCCCGTCGAGCCCCTCCTGGGCCCCGTCGCGCCCCTTCTGGGCCCCGTCGCGCCTCCTAGCCCCGTCGCGCCCCTCCTGGGCCCCGTCGCGCCCCTCCTAGGCCCCGTCGCGCCTCCTAGCCCCGTCGCGACCCTCCTGGGCCCCGTCGCGCTTCCTAGCCCCGTCGCGCCCCTCCTGGGCCCCGTCGCGCCTCCTAGCCCCGTCGCGCCCCTCCTGGGCCCAGTCGCGCCCCTCCTGGGCCCCGTCGCGCCTCCTAGCCTCGTCGCGCCCCTCCTGGGCCCCGTTGTGCCTCCTAGCCCCGTCGCGCCTCCTAGCCCCATCGCGCCCCTCCTGGGCCCCGTCGTGCCTCCTAGCACCCCCTGGGCCCCGTTGCGCCTCCTAGCCCTGTCGCGCCCCTCCTGGGCCCCGTCGCGCCCTGCCTGGCCCTGTCGCGCCCGCTAGGCCCCGTCGCTCCCTGCCTGGCCCCGTCGCGCCTGCCTGGCCCCTCCGCGCCTGCCTGGCCCTGCCACGCCTGCCTGGCCCCGCCGCGCCTGCCTGGCCCCGCCGCGCCTGCCTGGCCCCGCCGCGCCTGCCTGGCCCCGCCGCGCCTGCCTGGCCCCGCTGCGCCTGACTGGCCCCGCCGCGCCTGCCTGGCCCCTCCGCGCCTGCCTGGCCCCGCCGTGTCTGCCTGGCCTCTCCCACTGCCCGCCCGGCCCATCTTCGTGCCTGCTCGTTCTGCCGTGCCACCTCGGGCTCCGTCTACTTTGCTCGCCAGTGCTGGGGCGCCTCGCGGCCGCCGTGTTGGAGAGTGCTGCAGCCGTGTCCCTGCGTCGCTGTGTTCCTGTAGAGCTGTGCCGCTGACCCTGCATGATGGCGGACTTCGTGCTCCGACTAGACGCCGAGGGCCATGCGGTTGACTTCGCCGCTTGGCTCTCCGATCTCCGCCGCCACCTTACAGGTCAGCGCCAGGATGGCCACTCTTTGGTTGTCCATGTCGATGGCTTGCTCCCGCGCCCCCCTGCCCCTGCTCCCCTCCGTGCTGATCCCTCCTCTGATTACCGTGAAGCCTTCTCTACTGCTGCGCTTGCCTGTGCGGTCTGGGACTCCCGCGATGCAGTTGCTCAGGTTGCTATTAGTCACGCCCTCCCTGTGTCTGAGCGCTCGCGTTTTGCTACTGTTGAGACGGCCAAAGCTTACTTAGACGCCGTCATTGCTCGCTATTCCACACCCGCGTCTGCCCCTGCTGGCCGCTTGCTCTTCCCGATGCTGTTCCCAGACCTTGCAGCATTCCCTACCGTCGCAGACTTTGCCACTCACCTGCGTCCCCTAGAGACCCGCTATCGCACTGCCAGCACTGCTGCCCAGCTCACTGCGCTCCCCCCCCCTTTCTGCATGACGCTCTATTTTATCGCCATGCGCCTGCCAGACCGCCTCACTAGTGCTCGCAATCACTTCCTTAGCCAGCACCCGGGTGACCTCACCCTCACCGCCTTTGTCAACACCCTCACCGAGATCGAGACTCGTCAGCGCACTATCGCTCAGTCGAGCGGTGCGCCGGCAGTCTCTATCTTTCACGGCTGTGCCCCCTCCCAGTGCACGTTCACTCACATTTCGGCTGCGGTCGCCACGGCGACCCCTCTCACCGAGACGCCTGCTGCGGTCCACCCACAGCAGCGCTCGCGCCGTAATGGCCGTGGTCGTCAGGGAGGTAGGGGTGGTGGCGCAGGTGGTGGTGGTGGTGGTTGTGACGGTAGTCCGCCTGTGGGGACTACCACTGGTGGGCAGGCGTAGCAGCCCCAGCCGCAGCAGGAGCAGCCCGAGCCGCAGCCGCCGCCCCAGCAGCAGCTTCCGTCCCAGCAGCAGCTGTCCTTAGGTGTCCCTAGGTGTCCCTAGGTGTCCCTGGCTATCCCTACCTGTCCCTTGGTGTTGCTAGGTGTTGCTAGGTGTCCCTAGCTGTCCCTAGCTGTCCCTAGCTGTCCCTAGCCGTCCTTATCTGTCCCTACCTGTCCCCAGGTGTCCCTAGGTGTCCCAATGAGTGCCTTTGTGTCCCTAGCTGTCCCTAGGTGTCCCTAGCTGTCCCTAGCTGTCCCTAGCTATCTCTAGGTGACCCTAGGTGTCCCTAGGTATCCCTAGCTCTCCCTAGCTGTCCCTAGCTGTCCCTAGGTGTCCCTAGGTGTCCCTAGCTCTCCCCAGCTGTCCCTAGATGTCCCTAGGTATCCCTAGCTGTCCTTGCTGTCCCTAGGTGTCCCTAGCTTTCCCTAGGTGTCCCTAGGTGTCCCTAGCTGTCCCTAGCTGTCCCAAGGTGTCCCTAGCTGTCCCAAGCTGTCCCTAGCTGTCCCAAGCTGTCCCTAGCGGTCCCTAGGTGTCCCTAGATGTCCCTAGGTGTCCATAGCTGTCCCTAGATGTCCCTAGGTGTCCCTAGGTGTCCCTAGCTGTCCCTAGCTGTCCCAAGCTGTCCCTAGCTGTCCCAAGCTGTCCCAAGCTGTCCCTAGCTGTCCCTAGCTGTCCCTAGATATCCCTAGGTGTCCCTAGCTGTCCCTATCCATCCCTACGGGTCCCTAGGTGTCCCTATGTGTCCCTACCTGTCCCTAGGTGTCCCGAGCTGTCCTTAGCTGTCTCTAGCTCTCCTAGCTGTCCCTAGGTGTCCCTAGCTTTCCCTAGGTTTCCCTAGGTGTCCCTTGGTGTCCCTAGGTGTCCCTAGGTATCCCTAGCTGTCCCTAGCTGTCCCTAGCTGACCCTAGGTGTTCCTAGGAGTCGCTTGGTGTCCCTAGGTGTCCCTAGGTGTTCCTAGGTGTCGCTAGGTCTTCCTAGGTGTCCCTAGGTGTCCCTAGGTGTCCTTAGGTGTCCATAGGTGTCCCTAGTTGTCACTAGGTGTCACTGACTGTCCCTAATTGTCTCTAGCTGTCCCAAGCTGTCCCTAGCTATCCCAAGCTTTCCCTAGCTGTCCCTAGCAGTCCCTAGCTCTCTCTAATTGTCCTTAGGTATACCTGGCTGTTCCTTTCCATCCCTACGTGTTCCTAGGTGTCCCTACCTGTCCTTAGCTGTCCCTAGCTGTCCCTTGGTGTCCTCAGGTGTACCTAGGTGTCCCTAGGTGTCCCTAGGTGTCCCTAGGTGTCCCAAGGTGTCTCTAGGTTTCCCTAGGTGTCCCTAGCTATCCCTAGGTTTCCCCGGCTGTCCCTTAGGTGTCCCTCGCTGTCCCTAGCCGTCCCTAGCTGTCCCTAAGTGTCCCTAGGTGCCCCTATCTGTCCCTAGGTGTCCCTAGCTGTCCCTAGCTTTCCCCAGCTGTCTCTTCGTGTCCCTAGGTGTCCCTAGCTGTCCCTAGCTGTCCCTAGGAGCCCCTAGCGGTCCCTAGGTGTCCCTAGGTGTCCATAGCTGTCCCTAGTGTCCCTAGGAGTCCCTAGCTGACCCTAGGTGTCCTTAGGTGTCCCTTGCTGTCCCTAGGTGTCCCTAGGTCTGTCCCGAGGTGTCCCTAGCTCTCCCTAATTGTCTCTAGCTGTCCCAAGCTGTCCCTAGCTGTCCCAAGCTGTCCCTAGCTGTCCCTAGCTGTTCTTAGCTGTCCCTAGATGTCCCTAGGTGTCCCTAGCTGTCCCTAGATGTCCCTAGGTGTCCCTAGCTGTTCCTTTCCATCCCTACGTGTCCCTAGGTGTCCCTAGGTGTCCCTACATGTCCCTAGGTGTCCCTCGGTGTCCCTAGGTGTCCCTTGGTGTCCCTTGGTACCCCTAGGTGTTCCTAGGTGTCCCTAGGTGTCCCTAGCTGTCCCTAGGTGTCCCTAGGTTTCCCTAGGTGTCCCTAGCTGCCCCTAGCTGTCCCTAGGAGCCCCTAGCTCTCCTTAGGTGTCCCTAGGTGTCCCTAGTGTCCCTAGATGTACCTAGGTGTCCCTAGCTGTCCCTAGCTGTCCCTAGGTGTCCCTAGGTGTCCCTAGGTGTCCCTAGGTGTCCCTTGGTGTCCCTACCTGTCCCTAGGTGTCCCTAGGTGTCCCTAGGTGTCCCTAGGTGTCCCTAGGTGTCCCTGGGTGTCCCTAGCTGTCCCTAATTGTCTGTAGCTGTCCCTAGCTGTCCCTAGGAGCCCCTAGCTGTCCCTAGGTGTCCCTAGGTGTCCATAGCTGTCCCTAGTGTCCCTAGGAGTCCCTAGCTGACCCTAGGTGTCCTTAGGTGTCCCTTGCTGTCCCTAAGTGTCCCTAGGTCTCCCTAGGTGTCCCGAGGTGTCCCTAGCTCTCCCAAATTGTCTCTAGCTGTCCCAAGCTGTCCCTAGCTGTCCCAAGCTGTCCCTAGCTGTCCCTAGCTGTTCTTAGCTGTCCCTAGATGTCCCTAGGTGTCCCTAGCTGTCCCTAGATGTCCCTAGGTGTCCCTAGCTGTTCCTTTCCATCCCTACGTGTCCCTAGGTGTCCCTAGGTG